ACAATGGTAATAGCGCACAAACCCGCGGGGACAATCAGAAAACTGTTGCTTTGCAAATCACAAAGTGGCGCACACGATCGCAGGTCTTGTTGCAACTTTTTGGCAGCTCCAGCAGGCAAGACACACAGGTTCAGATTGAATCTGGTTGTCGGGGTCCACGGCTCACACCTGAATGTTAGGTAGCTGTTGAGGGGGTTGGTATTTGAGAGAAGCTTGAAATTCTGAAAGCACGGGCGCATACTTTCTACCCCCTGCACTCTCCCCCAGCCCCGGTGCACCTACAAGAGCTCTCAGCGCTAGACGTCCGAAACGCATGGGTTGAAACACTCCGCCACATAACCTTCAACTTTTCTGGTGAAGGTGGGGCCGACTAAATGTAAAAAACTGAGACAGCACCATGCCCAGACCATTGCTCGGCAGTTTGTTCCTGCAAAGGCGCTCCTGAAGGTGCAAGAGCAAACAAACAAAAAAAAGTACAGATACAGAAGCTGGGACATAGTGACTAGTGCTGGAGTGCATGCCAACTTGGTCCTCAGAACTTTCGTCCGCGCGATGTGAGCTTTTTCCATGTAGTGTATATCATTGTACATCTCATTTGTTCCTTTGCCAATAAAAATTGTTTGCCCGTCAGACCATGATTTGAAGCCAGACCGTCGGCTTTTCCACCTCTTGCGATCAGTAAAAGGTAAACAGGTGCGGCCTATGTAGCCCACACCGACGACAACAATGTTCCGCTTGCAACAAACTTGCATGCACACGCGCATCATTTCGGATATCTCGACAAGGGTTCGAGATTTCTGCCGGACTGCAGATGGGATGCCGGGCATTTTGCCAATACAGCGGGGCTCTAGTTGATGCCCGGCGGGGCGTAGTCTCAGTAACATGTTTTTGCCTTCGCTTGTCAATGTTGGTTGGTTCCACACCTCTTCCCTTTAAGTCTCTTCCGGTGGACGGGCTTTGAATAGCTGGGCGTTTCCAGCGTGATTTGCATGGTTTTGCGTTCGAGTTGTCGGTTTCACGGTGTTTTTTGAGCTGTTGGGCCCATAGTGGTTCACATTGCGTATAGAGGGAATGTCAAGAAAGTACGATCGGAGCTGCGAAACTGTAAGAAGCAAGCTGCGAGAAACGGGCCGGAGCGGCGAAGCTCTGAGAAACTGCAAGGCCCCTGTGCGAGACTACTTTGTAAGTCCCTTTATGGCCGGAGCATGCGCGGAGCGCCTTGCAATTTAAGGTTGCTGTTGTGGTAGACACATTTGCAGAGGTGAGGGAGAGCGACGTGATGAACTTGGCCCAAGAGTCGCAAAGCAACATGCAGCATTGGGCTTGAAAGGGGTCTAACTTTTTTTTTGCGGGCCAGTTATACCCAAGAAATGAGAAGATAAGTTACAATAGAAGTCGCAAGATATATGATCAGCGCCCACACTCGTAAAGTTTTTTGCAAAAATTTTGATCAGATTTTTCCTATTTGATCTCCGGGGGTCTAGATTTCCTAGCACTAGCTAAGGTTAGATCACAACTTAAAAAAAAAAAAAAAAAGACAGGATTGGCCTACGCGCTTTTGCGCAGGAAACCGTAGGTAGAGGCAGACGTGCAACATTAAATACATAGCGGTCTTCCTACTATTTACTAAATACTAGCCTTAAGTCGACTCAGCTTGTGTAAAGTCGACTCGGAACGGTGTACCCTTACAGAATTGCACCTCACAAGGATGCCTAAGCATAGATTATATGGATCTATAACACATAACGGCGACTCCGTACGCCGCAGCCCTTCCAGAGGCTCTAGAGAGCACCGTTACGAGGCTCTAGGCAATCCCTTCCATTCTTTAAAGCACCGTTACTATACAAATCGCAATAATAGTAACGCACACAATCGCGGGGGGATCCAGCGGCGATTCTACGCGTCGCAACCCCTTCTAGAGACTCTAAAGACCACGTTCGCCATTAGAAAAAAACAGGGGGTCCCAGCGGCGACTCCGCGCGCCGCAACCCCTTCTAGAAGCTCTACAAACTGCGCCCGCGGTGTGGGTGGGAATAATAATATATTAAGAGGATATAAATAAATAGAGCTAAATGTGTGTGAGGGTAATTATAATATATAAATATAAAGAAAATAATAATGAGTGGGAAAAGTAAAAAAAATAATAAAGAAAATAATCCGGAACTAAAAATAATTCTATTTACAATATCCAATAACAGCCATGGATCATTCAGGGAATCTCTATCCCCGAATTAACGTATATATAAAAAAATGTATATATATAAATAAGATAATTAATATAAATATATATGTAATAGCGATATAAATATTAAGAAGATAATATATAGGATAAATAACCGCGATAGCGATTCGCAACGACGGATAAAATAATAAAAAAACTAAAACCCCACACTAAAATGTAGAAAAAAAACACAATGAAACGGAACCTATTCATGCCAAAAATTAATTAAATCCTAGCCATCTTTTATCTACAAAAAAAACAATCAACGTCCTCAACAATCGTTTCCAACCTTATATTCCATTTAAAAACGGGTTTTCCGCTTCCTTTAAAGCCCCATACATAACATAACGAAACCAACAATATCCTATTATTTCCCCCTTTTCATAACTCATATATCATAACTTCAAAAGCTAATCCAAACAATAAAATAACGCTTAATACTATAAAATTTTCAATAATAAAATACATATAAATAAAATAATAATTATAAAATTTTATTACAATTACAAAGATAAATACAACAATATTATAAACAATTACTAAGACTTATTTATACTACAACAATAAATCGTATCTAAAATTATACCCATCCATAACTTTCGCTACTCATTCGAGAAAAAAACAACTCAAATTAAGATATACATATATATAAATCTACAAATCCTTCCATAACGCACGAAATTTATACCAACAAATTAAAATAGCTTGCTAAATAAAACCAACGATTCTTTTCCATAATTCAAGAAGTCATAAATACCTTCGTTAAAAAACATAAAATCGATTCAAAAAAACACAAAACAATTAACATATCTATTTTATCAAAAAAAAATCTAAAATTCAAGAAAACATCGTCGTTACCACCAACAAAAAAGAAAAGACTTCCACTAACATAACAAAAAATACTATCCACATTATTGCAAAAAACAATACAACCTGCACAATCAAAAAATCACCAACATCAATAAAGGAATACTACAAACCTTGAAAAACACAAACATGTATTAAAAACACCTTATCCCAAAATTACACCGAACATAAACATCCGCATAAAAAAATAACACACAGCCCAAAAAAGGATCCTTTAATATGATCACACAATTTTAAACACATATAACATATACATATGTATATATATATATATATTTATACATATATAGATATCTATTTGTTCATATATTTATTAATATATCATTTTCCTTCTACCTGTTTTGTGATTGAATCGCAATTTTGATACAAGAAAACATATTCCGTCAAGCTTATCAAGTTATGTCAGGACAAGCACATGACAAAGCAATAGTGTGGTCAGTGTCCGGCCTGAGCCAGCCGTAGCGATGAGCTACACGCTGGAACGCATCTCCTCAGTCAAAGCGGTGAACTTGATTGAGAAGGAAATAAATCAAACGCTCAGGAAAATTGCAGCTTGTACAAGCTATCCGACGCAGTTCTTCCACACACATGTGGAAAGCATTCAAGACACATCCCTTTTCAATCTCAGGATTAAGGCCATTATTGCGGCTTCAGTGTCTGGCTTCTTGAACGCTGTAATCTCTTTTGCAGTTGAAGTCCAATCGACCTCCTCCTTCGACCATCCTTGGCATCGGAGACTTTTGGATGTGCTGCAGGATTCCCACCACGTGCACAATGGGAAGCCCAAAGGACAGTGATCCACCTCTGGTTTGGTGACTTTGTGACAGGCGGTTGTCACCAACGATACATCAAGGAGCTTCGCTTTTGCTGGGGATTCAGCACCTTCCCACTCTGCAGGTCCATAGACAATGCAACAAAAAAACAAAGTTGAAAATCACAAACACATGCTGTTGTCATACCCCATTTTCAAGTCTGAGTGACTCGCTGCGTATGGCAACGAACACATTCTCCAAAGACACTGTGGGCAGCCAACCAGAAGGTGTCAACAGCTGCATACCTTGACATCACTGAGAATCGCTTCCCTGAACGCCTGGACTGGCTAAATACCTTGAACCAGGTTTTGGATGGAACATCTACAGTTCTAGGACATTGACAGATCCATCCTGACCTTTCAAGTTCGCAATCATTTGCCAACCTCCAAAACTTCAGAATAGAACAGGTTAGCGGCCCTTTTGACATAGCAGAAGGGACAGCGCTGGATGTTGAAAGCACCTGAAGTGTTGCAGCTGGTCATTAGCAGGTCATGTAGCAATTGTTGATTGACAGTTTTTCGTTTGGGGTGGCCAAGTTATTTTTTTTCGATTGTAAAGGACGCCCAGAAAGACAAGTGTAGCCAAGCTATCTCCAGCAAAACCAATTGGACCTAGGCAATCATGAAAGAACAATCATGCCTGCCCTTTCATAACTATTACAAGCTCTATTGTTAAGTTTCCCTAAAAATCTAGAAACCAAATCATTAGTGCGAGCGCTTCTTCAAGGAGCTTCCGTGAAGAAGCGTGAGCTATCCTGCATCCTAGGTAATAGCTACCTAGCTACTACTAGCCACCTCTCCCTTACTTAATTAAGTAAGCGCCTACTTAATTAAGTTAAGTGGGGAGGGGAAGCGGGCTTTAAAAAGATCATCAAATTCACACAAGTGCGCATGAACATTGTGGGAGACGTAGTGTGAAGTCACTGCTCCGTTCTTATCAGCTGTCTGGTTTGTACAAATGCGACGTGGCAGTGGAAGGATTGTGCTAAGTTGAATACAAATATTGCACAACAAGTTGTCAGCATTGAAGTTTGAAGCTTTGCATGGGGTTTGCCCCAAGAAAGCACAGCATCCACAAGACATGATGATTGAGCAACTACCTCCCAAAGTGGCGCGGAGCATTCTTGCCCATGTTTCTGGGTCACAAATGCTGCAAGGATGGAGGAAATTCAATTCAAACACCTGCAAGCTAAGGACACATGGCTTTCAAATTGTTCCATTTACAGTGCTGGGCACCATCTGAAATGGAAAAGGAAGGATCTGTTGTGAGCTCAGCTGCAAATGCTGCCACCAACTGTGATGTGTCCTGGAACGACGAGCAAGCCAGTCTCGGCCGTCTTAAGCTTCAATACCTCCTTACAAGTCTCGCGACTATCAACCAGAACGCATTCTGAACACTGCGGACCACTACGGAAGGTATTCGCCCAAGCGTTATCTTTCATGACATGCTCTGTTGCGAACCAGCCCGCTCTCCCACACACTCCTGTGTGCATCTGAAAGCGAGGGCGTACAATACGAATGAAGGGCGGCTGCATTGGATAGCTGTCCTCAAGCAACTGTGCGTTTCAGGATATGTTTATCTCAAGCACGGCAAACCCTTTGTGGGATTCCCGATCAGCAAGGGGATTTATGAGCGGAAGTTCCGCATTAAAGCTGTGGATACTTTGGCTCGCTTGCCTCGCATGCCACGTATGTTGCCAACAGCATCCAGCATCTATGGTAGAAGCATTCTACTTCCTTCTGCTGGCTGCACAGCGAAACAAGCAGCGGAGGTGGCTGAAAACTGGGTTGTGAGTCTGAAATACGACATTGGTATGTTCAGCAGTATTCCTGCAAAGCCCTCGGATAGACTTCTCCACTCTGCTCTTGGCCTGAATTTAACTAGATCATTTTGCCATATGGCCTCCCCATGGGCAACATTTCTCAGTGGCTGTGTTCGATGAATGGGTCCTCCTTCGCTTGATTTGTTAGAAATCAAGGAGGTTCTTGCTGCGAGACTTAAGATTCCAAAGCTAGATGCACCAAATCAACAGGTCCTTCTCAGGCTTAAAGTCTTTGTGACGCTGGACTATAAGTCATTGATCAGATGCAACCAAATCAGGAAAAATCTTTGCATCACAAGGGCAAGCCTTTCCACACTTTCAGAGAAGCTTCAGGGAAGAGGACCTCTAGAACCACAGCTGCTTCACCAGAAGGATGCTGCACAGCAAAACTCCTCAGTTCGGCTGCGATGCGCTTTACAAAGCTGCGACGTCTGTCATGTTGAACATGAATCCAAAGCTATGGCCTTCAACCTACTAGCGATGGCCTGCAACCTAGAAGCATTTAAACCAAACATTGCTCGATTGGCGCCAAGGCTCTGCAGCTCTTTCCGCAAGGGGCCGTCAGGAAACCCATCGGCAAACATCTTGACGCTCCAATGGTACAAGGATTCCTGACAATACTCTGGAATGCTCATGCAACTCAACTCTGTGCGATCTTGCACAAAAACCAAGTCAACTGTCGCTTCCACAAGATTCAACGACTTCGAGATGGGATGACCAGTCATTCTTAACAGTGGCTCCACCCAGTTGCTTTTTCTTTTTGCCCTTTTTGGGGCTCAATATGCAGTGCTCAAACATGCATATAAGTGTTGTGAAGATCAAAGACACCGCTCTCAAAAAGGGTCGACGCACAGGACCTGACAGGACGTGAACCTTTTTCGAGAGGTGCTTCGGTCCCCTTCGGTCCTTCACCATTTCAATCTCAAGAGCTTTGGCGCTCTCAGCACCTTCCAGAGCCAAAAGCGCCCGCATCTCACGCATCAAGACCTCGATGAACCCAAAGTCGTCGGAAGCAAGAAGCAGCATAAACCAGCTACGCGAAGTTGCATTTAATCTGGCCCACTGCAACCGACGACATCTGTTATGTTTCCCAAAACATCTAGGAACCAAATCACTAGTGCGACCACTTCTTCAAAGAAGCTGCCCATGCCTAATTAAGTAGACGCCCACTTAATTAAGTAGGAGGGCGGGGACGGGCATAAAGAAAGTCAACACATAGTTTCCAGTCCTTCTGATCGACGGTCGCGTTTTTGGAACAGGCCATCGAAGTCCGAGACACTTGAGATGCCTGGCGCGAGCCCTTGGCCGCTGAGGCCTCTGCAAAGCTCTCCCAGGACCTAAGAGCTTTGCGCTTGGCGGCTTGGACGTCTCGAAAAACGTTTCCAAGTGATTTGAAAGCGACATAAGTTTCTTGAGAAATAAACCCAAATCAAAATCCAAGCTGCGATATAGTAGTAACAAGAAGCTACTAGGTGGAGGCTATCGCTATTGCGTTGGAGGCCATTTGTACTAGGAAGAAGCTATTAGGTTGGAGGCCATTGCTATTCGGTTGGAGGCTTGTTTGGCTCCCCTTTTAGAGTTCACGGGCTAGGGGGGGCGCAGCGTCACGATTGGCGCAAAAGCGAAAACAAAATGAGGCCCCCTTTGAAGCCTGATTAAAGCGGACCAAACAGCTTCTTGTTACTAATAGCGATGCACTTGTTACTAATAGCAAACAACTTCTTTCTTTCATCTCTTAGTTCTTTCATTCCAAGTGATTCAAGTGAAACAACCGGTTCTTTTGTTGTGCTGGGGGGGCTGGAAAGATCTACAAGTTATCTCAGCTTGAAACCAGTGCCAAAGTTTTGTCATCAGCATCATGCCAATGACATGAAAGGACATTCTTATCCATGTGGAAGTCAAAGTACTCTGGCATCCTATGAACTTTGTGCCTTAAAACTGTTCCAACCTAGAAGCGGGCCACTAGCGATGGCCTCCAACCTCTACGGCCTCCACCCTAGTAACTAGCGATGGCCTCCAACCTAGAAGCGATGGCTGAGGTGGGTTTAATTTGGAAAATACAGCTGGACGGAGTGAAGAAGGACAGGAATTTTTCCACGACCAACTTGGAGGCGACTGCCTGGGTGCTCTCCACATCTTTGGAAGGGAGGTGACTATGGCCTTCTGTTCTGAAACGGTTTTCCTCCAGTGACTTTGTCAATTGGCAATATCTGCACAAGATCTCAGGAATCCAAGCCAGCTCTGCTTGTGGATTCAATGTTGGATTTGTCCATCAACTCAAATACCCGTTACTACCAAAAACATCGTTTTGAACGATACCAGTCAAAACCAACCCAAATCCTTCAACTGATGGTGGTTACTCTAAGGCCTTGCATCCTTGAGACTACACTATCATCCTACTGCCCCTCGCAAATAGGTCTTTTGCCTTGGGTCTTGACATGTCTTGATCTCATCTGCCCTTGCTAGTAGGTTGGAGGCCATCGCTGGTAGGTTGGAGGTCATTGCTGGGGTGGAGGCCATCGCTATAGCAGGTTGGAGGCCATCCCTAGTAGGTTGGAGGTCATCGCTAGCAGGTTCGCCATTGCTACTAGGTGGCAGGCCATCGCTAGTAGGGGTGGAGGCCATCGCTACCAGGTTGGAGGCCATCCCTAGTAGGTTGGAGGTCATCGCTAGCAGGTTGGAGGCCGTCGCTAGTAGGTTGGAGGTCATCCCTAGTAGGTTGGAGGCTATCGTAATATTTAGAAGGTTGGAGGCCATCCCGAGTAGGTTGCAGGCCATCACAGCAGGTTGGAGGCCATCGCTAGCAGGTTGGAGGCCATCGCTAGTAGGTTGGAGGCCATCGGTAGTAGGTTGGAGGCCATCACTAGCAGGTTGGAGGCCATCACTAGCAGGTTGGAGGTCATCGCTAGCAGGTTGGAGGCCATCGCTAGCAGGTTGGAGGCCATCG